AGGCCAAAGAGAGGATTGAGTGGTAGATAGCAAGAGGTTTTAATTTTTAAAGTCTGAAAATGTTGCTATGCCTGGATATCCTTTTTTTTCTCTGTAAGGTAGACTGACTTCAGACTACCACAGCTAATCCAACTCTTTGTAAAATGTAATATGCCTACTGTTAAGGTCAGCATACCTATATACATAAAACATAAATATCATGGCAGTGATTCTTATTTAATCACTTCTTCCTGTTTACTTCATTGTCCCATCCAGTGGCAAAGTGGTACAGGCAGTTCAGTCTTGCCACTTCCCTTAATCATTTTATTCTTGTGAATGACAATACTGTGTAGAGAGTGGTCTGTGCCAGAAACCTGTTTGACTCCCTCTGGGCTGAATCTGGATTATGGAACTCCTTGAAGGCCACCTCCAGCAGTGGGACAAGAAGCATCAGAGAGCAGTGGGGCTAGTGCAGCTGTTCCTTGCCCCATCACTGCTAAAATGCATTCCCAATGCAGTTCCATATACAAGATTTCACCAATAGGCCCTGGCCCTGCTCACCTAACCCACAAATTCCTGGCCCTTCTAGGAGCCCCACAGGCCAGATTTGGCCTGCAGGCCATATCTTTGACATCCCTGGTCTATACAAAAAGCTTCTGATAGTAAAGCCCCCCATTCTTGTACACTTATTGGGCAGAGCAATAGGACATTTCACTAACAGTCCCACTGATTTCATGGAGACCGCTTCTCAAAGAGCACATTACTGTTCACCATGAGCAGGGCTGGCCAAACCTTTGTCAGAATAGCTCTAAGAGTTATTTTTTGTTTTAAATAAAAAAACCCCCAAATCCTATGTCCACATTTACAATCCTAAATCTGAGTTATTCTGAGAGCGTGCTTACAACTTCCATGAAAGTTGATGGGAACTGCAAACGCTTAGCACTGCCGAAAGCCAGGTGCGCAGACTTGAGAACATTGGTCCAAATATAGTCATTACTATACTATTAGGGAAATGTCAGGACTTACTGAGATTAAACAAAGACCTGCTTAGAATTTTTGTGACTTCAGCTCATAAATGGATTTCATCACTCGCTACAGCTGCATAAACAAATGCATGTGGTACACCTTTTTAAAAAAAGAGACCCCAAAGAATTTGTCAAATCGTGCCTAATGAGCAAAATGTATTCCAGGTGTTGGTTGATGCCTCGTATACCTGAGCAGCCCAGCCCAGGCCAGCCGTTTCCCAGTAGGGAAATAGTTTGCTTGCTTTTCTCTATCCTTGGCAGCAGAAGTGCTTTGGACAGGTGAGTATTTTAAAGGGGAGATGTACAATATGAAGCCCAGCACCAAACATCTTATTCCCTTTATGAAAAAAGTCTCGTCCCACTGCTGCTTTAGGTCTGCAAAAGCATCGTCCCCGCTTGGTCAGCAGTTTTTACAATGCCTGAGCAGATGGTTCAGCTCCTGCACAGCAAGGCTATCGGGTATTTGGAATAAGCTTCTGAGCCACACATTTTCCAGTCATTTTCCATGTTTGCGTGTGTGTTCCTCCTACTAAAAGGGGTCACAGCAGAAGCCCTGAAGACTGACACCTTGTGTTTATACACAGAGCAGCCAGCCAGCACTTCTATTATGCTTCTATGCCAGCGTGCCTCAGACCCGATGTGCAAAGACCAGACTATTCTCCATCTCCTCTCCTGAAATTCCCCCTCAAGGGCGCTAATGGTGGTGGTAGCTTATGATGTGAAGCAGGCACTTGCCATGTTTGGACTGAACTGCAGTAGACTCCAAACCAGTGGAGCCCTACACATCTCAGAGTTGAATTTTCCCAGTTCTGTTTAACAACGTTATAGTGCAGCTTAGAGCAAGAAGAAAGTAAGTATTAGCATTAAAAGATGGAAAGTATGTCTTCAAAATGTGCTGTAGCTATTTGAGTTTGAATACGGCCATCCTGTTTTCAAAGCTGGGAAGCCAGAGGTTTTTCTGGATGAATAAATAGTAGGTTCTTTTAATGCTACATATATATAAGTGCTCCAAAAATATTTCCATGCAAAAAGGCTTGTGGACCAAAACAAAACTCTTTAATGCTCACTTTTCACTTGAGCTGACATCTGTGGTTTGAAAATAAAAGTTTCGGAATTACTATTTTTTGAATTCATATCTACCTAATTCGTATCTACCATGCTTACTTTCAACCATGCTTTTTTCCTGGGGAAAATACAGGAGCACGAAATCAAAGGGGGGCAGGATTTTGTGCCATTGAAGTTAATGGCAAACTCCCACTGACATTAAAACGATCAGGGTCAATCCTACAGTGACTGTTCGGCTCCTTACCCCAGTAAAAAGGAAGTAATATATTTTGAAAAGATTAATGTTAGACGTGGCATTGATGAATCTGAACAAACCAACACTTTTCACAAAATACTATACTTTTTTACCCCAACTAGCTCTAATTTGTGAACAATTGGGATGAACAAATATTGCATCCTGTCAGTCCTTCATCCTGGGTGTCAGTGGCATGCTTTTCTGCCCTGCTGTTTATGCTTCAAATCCTGGTAAAGTTAAGGGGACTGTGGTTTCTTATGGCCGTTGGAAATTTGGCTCAATGTCAATTAAAGTACCTGCCTGAACATTTTGGCTCAATTTGCCTTAAAAGGTTATGTTAAAACTACATGTGCTGCCACAGCCTGCCTGCATTTTCCAAATATGAAAATGACCTGTGCTTAATTAAACTTCCCCGCCTCCTAATGGTGATATTAGGCCCAATTTGAAAGCTCTGCAATTCTCAGAGTAAAGGTGCTTGAGGAGGGCAAAATACCTCTGAACCTGTGTTTATAAAACATGCTCCTCTTGGGAAATGCAGGAATATGACCCTGCTTGCATTCTTTCAGTAGGCGGGAGTTTACCTTGTAGTCTGCCTTAACGCACAACCAAATATGGGCTCGGGGAAATACCTGTCTTTCTCCTTATAAGGATGCAGAGGCACTTCCAGTGCCCACAGTCAGCTTTCTTGCCAGTAGTAGTTGCACTGTGTTGTTGATCCTTATGCCTAAAAAGGCAGTTCCTCCACTCCCTTGCCTCCAGCTGCAGAACTCTGCAGAGTTACAGCTCTCTGAAATCAGGCATTTACTCACAAGGAAAGCAGTATTTCTGGATTTCACTGTCACTTTCTAAAGCCAGGCAATTTACAACTACGGCTGTGGTTATCCTTTACTCTCATGATTAAGCAGTCGATGAATAATAAAGAGCCCAACAAAAAGCATAGTGCCTGAACCTTGCAAGTGGTTCCAGTTTACAGGCATTTTACCCTCCTCTAGCACCTTCAATCTGAGAACTGCAGAGCTTTTAACTCGGGCCTGATTATTACCATTAGGAGGCAGGGAAGTTTAATTAAACACAGACCCTTTTTAGATTCGGAAAACCAGGCAGGCTGTGGAAGAATATGTAGTTTGAATATACAGCTGTAAATTGGCAGGGATCCCTGAAGGACTCTACGTAGGTCAAGTATCGCCCACGCCCATGGGGGATAGCTTCCAGTATCAGGTGCTTTAGCTCCAAAAGCACATACCGGTACATGCCTCCTAACCCAAAAAGAACTCATGTGACTACAAGATATGATTGCATTTTAATAATAACTCAAAACCTTTAAGAAATCTTGGTCCCCAAATATTGACTTCACTCATTCACACCCAGCCAGGACTGACATGTGGTTCACAGACTTTAAAGGACAGATGTATTTATTTTTATTAGAGACATATTCTTACTCTCTCTGGACTCATCTGCCTTGAGATATTTATTCCATTCGTCTATTAGCTCCGAGCATACAGGATTTGTTTGTTTGTTTATTGGTATTTTCTTCATTAAGTTAACAAATAATCCTTCTTACATAAAAATAATGTCAAGGAATGTAATGCCAATTTGAGACCAGTGGAACTGAGCTGCCTGAAATGGTGTGTCAAAACTTTCTCTAGTGGGGTCTGGAGGAGGGCCTGCGGTTTGAGAGAGAGAGAGAGAAGCTGCAGCATGGAGCATTCCCTGCTGTTTGCAGGACATGGCAAGGTTGAACTGCAGTTCTTGACCTTTTGAATAACGTGCTCCGGGATCCAATTCAGAAGAGGGAAATATTAGTTGAAGTAATTTTTTAAGCCACAGACAATCTACATTGATATTTTTGCACACATTGTCATGTCTTTTTTCATGGGGTGACAGCCCCTTTTCTTTTTGAATGCTTGAAACATCCTGTCTATCCCTGAAGACAGCTACTTTCCAAAGCATCTTAGCAGAAAGGAAGAATAATTAAGGCCAAGATTTGCAAAAGAGACTAGTGATGATTAGCACCTCACTTTTGGGTTAGCCAGGTTTAACTGCACTTAAAGGGTTTGATCCGAAACCAGAGTACTCTGTCCTTGCTCTAGCCAAGCACTTAATTGCACAATTAGGCCCTTGAAGTTAAAGCTTAACCAGGTGTCATTTCCCTCTTCACAGGCTGGTTCCCAGCCATGCTAGCCCCTTTTGCATTACCATGTAGTGGTAGATGTGGAGCAATGAGCTCAGCACCCTTCAGGATCCAGATTAAGTGTAGAGTGCCTACTTAAAAAAAATAAAAATCTAGGCTGCCACTAAAAAGTGAGGCACTTAAAATGATCAGAAACTTTTGAAAGTCATTGGGTTAAGAGTTCATTGGCAAGGAAAGACCTCCGTTTTCACAATGAATATGAAATGTGCTCCCTGTGCTCTCTACTTTCAGTTCTGTTTGTATATAAAAGGTTTGGAAATATGGCCAAAGATTGAAACAGGATGGCTGGTGTTGAGGGCACCGATATAGTTTATGAGGCAAATACTTTATAATTAACATCACCTCTTATAAAACATCTTTGATAGTATTCACAGTCATTTGTAGTCACTCTGATGAGCAAATGAAGACACTTGGCACAGGCCTGTCTTTATCCCAAGTCATGAACTGAGAACACCAGGTTATCCTAATCCTTGCCCTCAGAGTACACTGAAAATAAAATGGTCTCTCTCAGAAATCTGCTTCATGTTTTGTCCCTGATATGTGGGAAATGCATTTGTTCCAAGCCTATGTTTGATATGTTGAACTTTTTAAATCTGGTAAGTGTAGCTGGGCCAGTGGCTATATTGAGGACAGGTGGCTCTACCTGGTGGGAGATTGTCATTCATAGTGCTGCTAATCTCCTCCCCAAACTACAACCTATAATCTGGGATGCTGGGGTGAAGGTGAGACAGGAAGGTTTAAACTCCGTGGTGTGGGACAGAAGTTTCATAAACTGGTTTGACCCAAATCAGTTAAGTCTGATACTACATATAACCAGGTTCATCTTAAACCAGCTTCAGCCATTTTGAAAGTGGCTTATGTGCACTGAAATTCTGTTCTGTTACAGGTTTAAACCAGTTTCTGATGACTTAAACCAGCTTACATGTAACTTCTGTGCCTAGCCCATGACTCTCTCATGCCAACACCCAACTTCAGCTGCAAATTGACTGCATGATAACAAAAAATAGAAAGACGGAGTGGGAAGTGATTTTTTAAAAATGATTTTTGAACTGCTTATTTTGGTCTAGAGTTCTGCTTTTCTTGTGCTATTCAGTAAAAATCTATCATAGGTTTTGGATATGCTTCAGAAATGTGTGTGTCACTCGTGTCCCTGAAGGGTTGAGGAGGATGTCTGCAGGTGCAGTTATAGGAGAAGTTAGATTTTAGGTACAGGGACCTTGAAGGGTCAGCCCAAGGTCTGGGATCCAAGCTGTACTGGAGGGGGCTGTGAAAGACGAATCCGCAAAGTAGGTCCAGTAAATTGAGACCCAAGAGGACAGCGTGGTGAGTGTCCAAACATTGGGAGAGTGATCAAATCTCCGATAGTGGGAAAATCTAATTATTCACTATCAGCACTCTTCTTCCAGAGACAGCTCACAACCTCTTCCACATGGAGCAACAGCAGGAGGCTAGTGCTGGTGTGGATGATTTTGTCTACTTGTTTGTACCAGCTAGTAAAAGCAGCTGAGCAAGCACAACTTTAACCATGGGAGATATGCAAAAGAGGGAGTCACATGTGGAATTCGGGAAAACAGGAGGGACTCCTGTGGGGTGAAAGAGGAATGCTTTATTTCCAAGTCCTAGAGTGAGCTAGTGCTTATTCTCTGGGGGAAGATGTGAGTGATCTGGTAGCACTTGCTTGCCTCTTTTCAGATGAGAATGTCAGCAGAGTCTTATTGGAGTGGATAATGAGGACATGGCAAGCATCCCTCATCAAGTGCTGATTTCCCGTGCGCCTAGGATGTAACGTGCTAGCCCTTCGTGAACATCTGCTATCATAAGGTACACATACTTTTGATCCCTGTATATTTAAAGGATAAAACCTGGTTAGCAGTGTAGTCCATAGCTAACTAAACTGTTAAGCATGGAAATGCCTACAAAAAGCTTTGTAATGTTTATATGAATTGCAAACCCCCTGGCTAGTAAAATCACATAGGAAAGCAGAATAACAGTATTTCCTGCTCAAGGTTCTAGTATTGCATTTGTGCCCCAATTGTGGCTTCAGTCCCTATCAGGCGAAGCACTATCAAAAGATAGCCCCAAAAGATGGCCTCTTAACCCAAAAACTTGTGACACAATTGATGGATATGGACATTCAGACAAGGGAGAATGAGGAAACGAGGGGAGACAGTGTGGGTCTGACTATGTCAGTAGCAATCAAAGCTAGTTGAGGTTATGATCTCTAATAAATCTTGTATTAAATAATCATGCCAGACATGTATAAATTAGCTTTTTTTCTGAATAGCCACTGCTTTTTACAAAAGGCTGCAAGGTGCTAATCTTTGTGTTGGCTTAGTGAGCTGGAAAAGCTTTGGGTTAAAATCTAAGGAGGTTCTTAAAACAAGAAGCTTTTTCGTCTGTTCTCTTGACTTTCTGAGCAATTTCATTTGCTTTGAACATTTTGTAAGTAAGCTATGTTCTCAACCCGAGAGTTTAGAAGTTGAGTTTTTATCTATGGAGAAAACTTTTACTGTCTAGTCAGAGGCTTCAAAACTAACACAGTTTTATAGCTGAAAGCCTGGCAGATGTTTAGCTATGGATGAAAGAAAGTTTTTAAAATGGCTATTGCTTTCACATGATGGAGTTATATGGCGGGAATAAACTTTTGAAGACTACAGCACTGTAGCAAGTTTTTAGGAGTGCCAGCAGCCCAACAAATTGTTTATGTCTCTCCTGCCTGTTCAGTTTAACTCTTTCAAATACTCCCAGTGACTGCAGTGACATACACCACGCTCAGATAGATGAGCTGATCCACTGAAAGCCTTACCCTGGAAATGAACTCTACTAATCAACTGCTCATGACTCCAACAGATGTTTCTGTTTTTCAGACAATTAGAACCTCATGTGCAACTCTTTTTTTTTTTTTTTTTTTTGCTTTTCGTACTAGCAGCAAATACCACTACACATCTGAGCTTCAGAAACTTGTCACATGATATCAGGAACAAATTGTTAAGCCAGTCAGCAATATCAAGGTTTGAAGTGGTGGTCCGCGGAAAGCACCAGGTCTTGGAAGCCAGAGGAGTAGTTTATGGAGCTACCATGCTGTGGTTTTGCTGCAGATGCCAATACTCTGCTCCAGTCTCTTGTCTGCAGTTTTGAAATATCAGATGAACTCAGACCAAAACTCCTTTTCAAAGGCTGAATCATTTTAGGATGTGGAGATAAAGTTAAGTGATACTTTTGAGGATATGAGTATTATTCTGTGAAAACCACAGACACAGGATAAGGACTGTTTATACAGTGTGCTTATACTAGTCTAGCACATATCTATTGAGAGAGGTCTGAAACGATGAATTCTCAGAGGCAGAAGCCGCTGTGGCCAAAAGAGGGAAGTTTTTATTTTCATTGGTTTGGTTTGTTAAATAAGAGTCTTTCTTTTCAATTTGTTCTTGTTGTCTAGTGGCTGATGGGACTGGGATCAACTAATATTAAGGATCTGGGCAGAAAGAATGAAATGTAACCTCCCTGAAAGGATGTGGTACAATCTCATGTCACCAGAGCCAAAACCAGCTATTGGAAATGAAGCACCTGTTGAAGTGGTACAATGAAACAATTAAAACTTTGTAGCTGCTAGAGACAAGTTTCTTTGGGAATGCACCAGCTCATTTGCAAACCATCTTTCTGCTAGCAATGAGCAATTCCCCAAGTACTTGCTTCTGCCCACAGCTGACCCACAATCAATTGATTCAGGAGCCACAGTTTATCAGAGTTGGATGGACCAGACCAGGAGGTTTATCAGCATTCACAATTTGTTAGACAGCAGTGGGGGAGGATCACAACCGAGTGTGGGATTCCATAATCGGAGCTTGCTCTTTCAGACCTCCCAAACAGTGTATTACGCCACTTCTACTGCTGGACTCGGTTGCCATGATGCATGCAAGTACAGAGAGCAGACTAAGTTGGAGGGAGTTGCACTGGGGAGCGAAAGGAAAAAAGTACAGATTGTTTTTCCTGCCAGCCTCACAATGCCAAGGTGACTGTAGTATTCTGCCCAGTGCCTGATTTCTAAAGGTGCTAGCTATTTATATGTATAAATGACATCAGGTAAGGACCTGGCCCTTTCCTAATACTGTACAGTATGTTTTTTCTGGTGGGATGCTAGCTGGTGGAAATACCGTCTTTGCGTTCCTTACTTCTGTCTCCTCTCTCCTTCAAGACAAAGTTTTGCCCATCGGTTCTATACTCATGTATTTGAGGGCAGAATTTGCCCTTCATCATTTTTAAAGTGGGAGCAAAATAATGTCTTTTGAATTAGCTTTGGATTGATTAGCTCTGGATAACAAGCCAAGGTCCTTTATCTTTTCTCTGTGGAATTTCCATCACTGGACATTTTCAAGTGCAGATTAGTGAAATATTGGTTGGGATGCTTTAGGCAGAAACTATCCTGCCTGGAGCTGAGGGTTGAATTAGATGAGGTCTTGGCTCCCTTTCTAGCCTATTTTTCTGTGACCTTATGTTGCTGATGCTATATGTGGTGTTTGGCTTGTATACTGCTGTTAAATGTTGGAAAGGCTGTTTTTATAATTCAGTATATAAACTCCTAACAATGCTCCCACTGAATAAGCAGAGCCTCTTCAAGCCCAACATGTGACTGGTAAATTGGGGATCAGAGGTGGGAGACAGCATCTCAGTAGCAAAGGTGCAGATAGGCCAAAAAAGGGCCTTGAAAATGAAGACAAGTAGCTTACATTTGATGCAGAAGAGAAGCAGGAGGCAGAGACAGGATACAAGGAAAAGGATGACATTGCCAAAATCCTGGACTAGCTAAACGATGTTAGCAGCAGGTCTTTGAATGGATATGAGCAAGACTGCATTTCTCAAAAGTGAGAGGGAGAGATGTTGCAGTAAAAAGATGGAAGAAGATGTGGAGCAGCATACAATTTATTTAAGCTGCTTGGATGTATAGTAGAAATCATCCTATTAGAAATGGTACATGGAAAGATTTTTACAAGACTTAGTTCCCCACATTTTGGGTTTGTAAAAGAGTCCAAGTCCTAGGTGATGGCCAGACAGGCAGTATAGTGGTGTTGTATATAACAATCAAGAAGAGATATGGGAATAAAGGCTTAGTGGGGAAGCTAGTGGAAACTGGAGAGAGGAACTTCAGACAGAGCATTTCGTTAACTTGCAGATGAAAGGGAGCAGAGATGGGGCAATAGCTAAAGAAGCAAATGGGGGCAAGGCTGGTTTGACTTTTAAGATGGCACATGCTTGTATGCAGAGAGAGAACTGGAGCAAGTCAAAAGAGAAAAGGAAGGGAGTGGATAAAAGAGGAAAAGCTAATTGGGGCAAGTGGAGGGGTAGGAGGAGTTGAGTACACATGAGAAGCTCCATGTCTGTGATGGCAGAAAGGAAGAGAGACTTCAGGAGAACAGAAAAGTCCTTTTGTTTTGTCAGTTTTTCTTGGAAAAACTGAGAGACTCACATTTTGGGTATATTTATGTTTTGCAAAAAATTTTTTCCACATAATATTTCTAAGATGATCTTTCCTGGGGTTGGTGAGTCTACAGGGTCTTCTTTTTCTCTTTGCCCTCAGTGTCCATTTTCTCAGGCCCTGCCAGCCCTAAGGACTAGATCCATGGCCTTCTCCACCGGTCCAGCCATGTCTATGCCTCACAGATGTTACCAGTTATCACTGAAGTGGGGCAGCTCATCCCTAATGCAAGGCTTGTCCCACTTAAGCTTCCAAACCTTTGTTGGGTGCTTCAGCCCTCTTGACTTTTCCCCTTTTCTTCCCCTTGGACCTTGTCTTTTGCTCTGGGCCCTTGTTCTTGCTCTTCTTAGGCAGCAGGTTTGGCCCTCTTGGCCTCAGCCCACCTTTCTGGACCCTCTCAAGGTCAGACTATTGGCCCCCTTGGCCTCAGCTATTTGCTTCTCATGCCAAAGCCCCTGTCATGCCTTAAGGCTCAGCAAGCCCCTCAGGCTCTTCACTATAGCTTAGACTTCAGCTTTCCTGGCTTCTGCCTGCCTGTCTCTCAGGCTCCTGTCTCTGGCAGAGCTCAAGACCTCACACATTGCTGGGACACCCCTGCAGCTTGCATTCTTGCCCCTGGCAGCCCTATGCTTTGCTACAGCTCCTGGTGTTTGGAACAGACTGCCTGCTGCCCAGGGGTCTGATCTAGTGCCTATCTGGAGTCAGTGGAAAGATGCCCGCTATTTCAGTCACTTTGGGTCAGGCTGCATTTTCATTATAGTTGTTCTTCCCTTGGCTACCCTTTCAGTCTGCTTCTGTCTACAATAGTATTGTCAAATGAGTTGGCAGGCTGGATCTGGACCACAGGGCCTCTCAGGAGGTAGATAACCCACCTCCAGATCCGCTCCACAGGACTTGTTGCAGTGACTCTCTACATCAGCATCCAAGGAGCTAAAGCACTGCTGCCTGCCACACAAGCCCCAGATCTGTAGTTGCCTGAGCTGCAGTGTCAGCCCTGCCAGCTCCAGGGGGGTGGGGATGGGCTCCACATGCTTTAGTTCCCAGCAGCACCAAAAATGCTATATTTTTACCCTCTGGGTGTTGGTCTCACTAATGCTATGGCTCTAGCACCGGCAGCTCCAGGTCTTGAGTGGTGGCAGCATTAGCTGCCTGGCTGCTGGTAGTCATGGATCATCTGGCATGCAGGGCTTTTCACCATCTCTTGATGGCTGGATCCAGCCTGCAGGCAGTATGTTTGATACCCCCATTCTAAAGCATTTTAGACTTGAAAGGGTGTGAGAAGCACAAATACGTGTTCCCTCCCCCATTTGCTAAGGCACCAAGCTAAGAGGGATCTGTTAAGACTCTCCTTCAAGGACAATAAGATGTTCAGGTCTGAGCGCCTGTTTTGGCTTCTGCTCTCCCAAAACCGGTCCTCTTCTATCTGGAGTAGCCAAAGGCAGGCGTTCACAGTAACTGGAGAAGATGGTGAGTCTGCCCGTCAGGTTCAGAGCAGCTGATCCAGAGCACATGAAGAGACTCCGGAGAGGCCAGTGTCTGAATGGTTGTCCTTGCAGCCATGAATTTATACTGAGAAGGCCAGATGAATCCTGGAGCTAATGCAAGCATTTTCCCTCTCCATGCAGAGGCCCCTTTCCACCCTAAGCTAGGGACCTGTCTTAGGCTCTGACTGTCCTGCCCTGTCTTGGGCTCTGCCCTGCCATGAAATAGCCCCTGCATCTGGGTTTGTCACAAGGATGATGCAGAAATTACACGCTCCAGGGAGATGCTGACCTGGCTACAAGCTTGTTTCGTGGCTCGCTAGTACTGTCATGAAGAGGCCGTGGGATGGGGATGCATCAGTCCCACCAGCAGGGCTGCAGGGAGAAGATTTTGCAGCTGCTAGCTGCTGTGTGAGCAGCCCGACCAATTCGGTCTCTGGGGGTTTTCAGTCTATCACCCCTCTGGGTAACACAATGTTCATTCTGTCCCTCCCATACGCACAGTGCACCCAATGAATAGTCATCTGCCTGCTGTCTGCCCACAGAACACATCAGGAAGGAAGCTGCCACTCTCTGAAAGGGGATATAAAAAATACCAGTCAGGCAAGCCTCGCATATTGTACCAATTCCACTAGGACTGAAGGAATCCTTTGCCCCTGTGATTCATGCTGAGCTGTCCAGTCCATCCGGCAGCAGCCCCGTCAGGCAGCCACCCACAGTTAATCGGGTGCTGGCTGCTGGCTGTGCCTGGCACAAGAGGCTATAGATTTTCAAGTTCTTTTTATTAGTCAGGGCACTGGCACTTCCTTTGGCATCTGTCTGTCGGCAGGAAGGGGGGTGTGCGTGCATGTGTGTGCGTGCGTGCGTGTGCGCATGCTTTTTTTCTTTTACACATTTGGAACCTAAAAGTTTGATTCAGACTTTCTCCCTCTTCTCCGTTTCCTGTAGGTTTGAGGCTCTGGTTTTTGATGATTAGCCAATACCAGCTGTTCTGGGGATGAAGATGTCTCAAATCAATTCTATCCTGTCTGGCTTTCCAGGAAGAGGGTTTTTTTTTTTTTTCCTTTCCCCTGTCATCTGTGATTGAAATTTATCAGAGCCATTGCAAGCAGGAAATTTGTTCCTTTACTAAGTGTGCTCTACTGTTCCTTGTTTTTATTGTTTTAACAATTTCCAGAAAAAAAGGCACAAAACAAACCTACTTCCTTTTTAGAAAGTGCGGTTTTTAACCTCTGAGATGCTGATTTCACTAGCAGAATTTTTTTTTTATCTAGGGTTATTTGAAAAGTATTTTCAGGATCACCAGATTAAAACCTCAGCCAAAATTCAATCTCTCTAAAGAATGAGACTACAGGCAACAATTTCAACCCTCAGTGCTTAAAGATAAATGCCTGAATTCTATACGTAGGTATCAATACTGTAATGAGCTCCCCCAGAGAGAGAACATCTAGGCAAAGCCCCTATATAAAGGGGCAAACACAGAGATCTTCCTGAGAAAATGTGGTTTGTAAACACTAAAATAGAGATGACCTAGCTTTGCAAGGCAAAGGGAAAAACTGACTTAAAATTTGATGTAAAGTTTGGGTGCGTTAATATTTTTTTACATCCCCCCCCCAACACACACACACACGTCAGAACTGATAGAAGACAAGGTTTTTTGGGTAAATATGATACCTTTTTATTAGACCAACTCAAATAGTTGGAAAAAATCTTTGCAAGCTTTTGACCATAAATACCCTTCGTCAGGCTGAGGAAGCATCTGCAGTTGGTGTGTGCTCTTCCTGGAGGGAATGAATAGTAAAGAAGCCAGAAGCTGGGCTGCATGCAAGAAAGGCAATCAGTGAAGATGTAAATTGAGGAGTTGGTGGGTGAGAGACAGATTGTGGGGGAAGGGGGCTGGAGAGAGGAATGAATGTAGCTGGTAAATAGTGGAGAGGATAATAGTGTTAAATAGTATTAGTGGTAAATAGTGGAGAACTGATGGAAGATATTCTGGGATGTGCGAAAGAAAGATTCTCCCTTAATTATCAGACATTTTTGGTATGCTTCAACAATCAAAATACATCTTGCTTTTTTCCCTGAACACAATTCTGGCAAACATATATATACCCTACTGCAGGCCACAGGAAAACAATGGGTCTCTTCATAGCTGGGACTGAAGCTCAGGCAGTTAAACTAGGACCCATGTCCATTGATCTCAGTGGAAAACCCTAATATAAGAGAGAGCTCTCAGACCACATCCTGTCATCATTTTGCACTGAAAACCACTACTGAGGTCAGAAGTTTTGTGCGAATATTTATGGCAGGATACAGTCCGCTTAATGGCCCTGTGAAGGTTGTCAAGCCCTAAACTAACCTTTCCTTCTCCATCCTGATCCTGCCAGTTCTCTAAAACTAGGTTTGCACAAGATATACAATCTCCACTGGTTGATCAGGCACAAACAACACGGGCATTAAGTTTATATACAACAGTGAGCACAAATAGGAGGCAAACCTGTTATATGACACAATGTCCCTTCTGAGTGTTTTTTGTTCTTATAAGCATGGGCTGGGTCCCTTTAACTTCTCAGAAGTGGGCAGCAAGGAAAGGATGGCTGCCTCCAATTTACCTTTGACTTAAGCAGCTGGAAGGGTTGCTAATTATTATTTCAAGGGAACACATGGATGACTTTGTTAGCAAATGTCTTTCACCTGTGACCAGCCGAGGTTCTTTCCTGGTTCACAAGTCAAATTTTAGCACTCCTGAGCTGGAGAGGGGCTGAAAGGTCTAAGTTTGATGTCTGTAAGAGCACAGTTTCTTGGACCACCTGGTTCCAATAATAGCAAGGACAGCTCTGTCCTTTAGCTTTGTGAGAGAGAAATTGAGCTCCCTTTAGCTTATACAAGTCTTTCTGCTAGGACCTTAAGGACCGAGGTCCTGTATGTTATGAATTAAAGTTAAAGGATAGTTCACTGGCTAGAGTTTTTGAGTCAAAGGAAAAGGGTTCTGCTCATAGCTTTGTCACTGCCTGACTGCTTGATTTAGGTAAGTCACTTAACCTATGTCTTTTTCAATTTCCTCATTTGCATGAACGGGATAATGATTCTCAGCTGCCTTTATATAATACTTGGAGTCTAGTTATTCATAGATCTCCATCTACATGCTTGGCTCTGACCATGTTCTTGGTAGAAGTGAGGGTTTGTCCTGGAGCCTTAGCCAAAACGTTTCCTATCCCCAGCACAGCTGCCACCCTCTGCACTAGAGAGAGGATTAAATTAGTGCATGGTGAAGTAATCATTCCACCCTTATACTTATTGCTTACATATAGTGTACAAAATTGCATCTTAGCAATAGTAAATTTAGCTGAGGATTGTGAGATCCTGCTTTTGGGGCTAGATCCGATGAAGGACTTAGGTTCCTGAATCCAAAATGATGGCCCATAAACCTCTGATCAGCTGTCTATTCCTGGCTGCATCTCCCTGTTTGACTTAAAGTGTCTCAAGAACCTAAAATTCTGCTTCTGTGCAGGTCCAGAACCACTACAGTTTGAACAACTTGGTGACTGTCCCCCACCTCACCCCGATCCAGGCTAGAAAGGATGTAGTCCCTTGTCTTCATCCCCAGAGGGGCCTGACCTAGTAAGGAGGCTCAAAGCATGGATACCAACCAACACCATCAGAGCTATACACTTACCTTTTGATACAATAGCCTTATGGCTAGATGACATGACTATGGTGATGGAGGCCTGGGTTCAATTCCTTCCCAGCTTCTTTGCACTGCTCAGAAGAGTGCCCTATCCACCTCCCACCCCCTGCTAGCGCTGGTGTGTGGAGGTGGAGCTCTCTCCTGCCTCCTGGGCAATGGTACAGGAAGAAGATCAAGATTTTTTCATGTTACAGTGAAAGAAGGTAAAAGGTTTGGGTGGCCTGGTGGTTAGGCAGCTCACCTGGAGGCAGTCCTGGCATGCAGCTCCTGCTCTCTGGCTTGCTTCTGCATTTTACCCAAACCTGTTCAATGTAAAATAATGAAATGGTCCTGGAAACAGGGAGGAAAAGAAAAGTTTTAGTATTTTTAACTACAACACTAATCTGTGAAATGAGCACACTGGTAATAAATGACATTTTCTATATCCTAGTTGTGATAAGTCTAATTCAAGAGATTGGCGTGATAGCACTGAAACCTAAAGATGGCAAAGTAGATATCAACATTGGCTATTTTTCTGTTGATCAAAGCATGAGCGAGAGGTAGATAATACTGTATAACCCATTCCAGTCTGTAATAACAAACCTAGAAACCTGTCCAAGCAGATACTGGGCCATAACAAAATGACTCTCATCCCCATTGTTGCAGTCTTTGTCTTCAAGACCCCTAAAGTGTGACTTCATTCATCTTCCTGCACCTTGCATCCTAGGTATGAGGTGCTCAGGTGGGCCATGAGTGGAATAACTAATGGCCAGAATAGCCAAGTGTGGACTTTTTCAAGAAAGCGTGTTTTGCTGTTGTTGGAAAATGGGGATGTGTCAAAGCAAAAGCTCTTCACGCAATTGTATCCATGTTCTAATGCAGGGGCAGGCAGTTATTTCAGGTGAAGGGCCGCTTACTGAGTTTGGGCAAACTGTTGTGGGCTGCATTTCCCTTTCCAGTGCAGGGAAGCAGGAACAGCCCCATGGTCCCAGGCCAGAAGCCTCTGCTAGGCAGGGTGTTTCTGTTTGGGGGGCCAGGGCTGGGTAGACCTTGCTGCTGGGTCCTGCCACTATTTTCCTCTGGGTCCTACTGCCCCTGGCTCCTGTCATCTTTGACAGGCAGCTAGGAGCCAATAAATATTAATTTTATAATTTTTTTAGGGGCCCCGTGAGCTGGATAGAATGGCCTGGTAGGCCGGATCTGGCCCCCGGGCCATATTTTGCTCACCCCTGTTCTAATGGGATGCTCTTTAGGGAGATTTTATGGATCCAAGGTGGCATCCTTAGGCAAGAGATTGGCAGAGAGAGAAGGTCTGCCAGGACAGCTGATAACCTACCCTTGCAGGAAACGCAGCTCCTGTTCTGAGGACAGGGTGTCTATCTGTCCATCCCTTTCTGACTCTTTGTCAAAAAATAAAAAAATAAAAAAAAATTGAATGTCCCTGTTTCAGCCCGACATGGAACTAAACCAAATGCCAAACTCCTGAAATTTCTTTTCAAAATGGAATTCTTGTTTTCTGGCCAGCTCTAGTGCAGAACAGATGTGTGTTTGTGGAAGGTGTTGGAAATAGAGGCTTCCTCTTAAACAGGAAGAGTGCGAACCTGCTACCCTGCTCCAGCCAAAGGAGGAGACCTCTTGATTCCTTTTACAGCTCGCTCTGATCATGATGCAGTTTGTGTTGAGTATCTGAAGGCAGCTGTAGCACAAACAGCAAGTGCGTAGGTCGAGAGGAAAGATAATATTATGTTCAGTGCACTGCACTGGATTCACAGATCTGGGATCAATGTCTGGCTCTGCCACTTATTTCTGTCCCTACATTTTTCTGTGCCACAGCTCTTTGCCCTCAGGAGGTCATCTACATGATAGAATTGCACTACGGGTGAGAAGTTAAATTACCGTAGACACCTTTATGTTTAAATTAAACTCCTTTCAGTTTAGCTGAAGTTGGAATCTGTTTAGACTGCACCAAATGAGCCACTCGAAAAGAAAAGCCTGTCTACACAGGGAGTTGCACGAGTTGATTAAAATCTATTTTGGTCAATCTAGTCCAGTATTATGAAGAAAGATGCCAGAGTAGGAACCTTCCTCTCAGCCTTATCTGGCTAACTAGGCATGATCTGTACAGTGCCCCATGCAGTGATTTCAGTTTGGTCTCTAGACACTGCAGTAATACTACTTGTTAACCTCAGCAGGGAGGCACCTCCTGCTCTAGAGCTCCCAGTAGCTGCCAGTTTGGCACTGTTGTCTAAAGAGACTGTATGAGCACATGTAGTTTCTGGGGCAGGGATGTTGGGGAGGGGGGCAAGGGAGGGGAATGAAACACTTCAGTGTGAACGCAAATGGCACTTTCCAACTTCCATTGGCTTGGGTTGCCGTAGAGAATACGAGCAAAACATGGTGAGAAACACCTGGAGATTGGCCTCTTCAGCAGCAGAAACTAAAACAAACAGCAGCTTGAATTATTTATGAGCTTCATTGCAATCCTGGAACTGTGTCCCCTTTGAATGAAAATGTGCGAGTTCAGCCTGCACAATGAAGCCACAGCACTGAAATGAAAAGGAATCTTTTAACTGCTTCCTTCTATTGTCTTATCTTGCTGTCTGCCTTGCCACTAATGTTCTCTTTGGTAGGAATTCGATTAGCACCGTGTTTTTGTTCCCAGGAACAATTCAAACAAAAATACTGCTTAGAGAGTCAGTTTGGAAAGTACATATGGAAATCTTTAGGACTGAAAAATAGCACGAAAGGGTATTAGGGATGGTTGTGACTAGCAAAACAAATGTTTAGTTTAAGATAGAGAAGAGAGTTATATTAGACATGCTGCAATTCCATCTGGCTAGAAATTGAGAGACTTAATGCCTGATCTTGTCAGGCCTGGAATGGAGGAAATAAAGAAAACTTTTGAGTATCTCGCAGTCCTGCCCCATCTTCAGGACATTCTCCCTACTACAGACACCAAGGGACCTTTAATGCAAGTCAAACACTCCAAATGAGGAAAGAAAAATCTGTCTGAACAGGAAGCTTCACATACTGCGAGTGTAATTGAGTTTGGATAATTAAGGGGGTTTAGAGTTGTAATTCAGAGGAGAATGGGAGGGGGAGGACAATTTAATTGAGATTGCTTGTCCATCTGCGAATTCTCTGCATGGTCTTGTGTAGCACATCCTGGTTGTTATTCATCTTGACCTAACGGGTTTGATGTAGTTTGTATTGACCTTATTAGTAGTGCTGCAGACTTTCATCTACATTATAGAGCTATTTCTTTGGTATGAGAGAGGTTGATAGTCTCTGATTTTTACCGGCTGGATACAATGGCATTCTGTAACACAGACCAGCAGAGACTCCCTATGCCTGAAGAAGGGTGACTGTGCCTGAGAGCTTGCTAAGAACTTTTTTCCAACTACTCAGTTGGTCTAATAAAAGATATCACATCCACTCAAAGCACCTTCCCTGCAGTTTGTAACCTACCCACTTGGGGACCTGGCTTATGGCACTTCCAGGATTAGGAAGGGAGGAACAATTCCTCACTTGGTGTTCCTCCCTTCACTGGAGTCTAGAATTCACCACTGTTTTTCATAGAGCCAAATCCTGACCTTTGTTATACCAATTTTAACCAAGATGAGAATCATGCTTCCTTGAATCAAATGAATGTAAAAGTCTCTACTAGGAGAAGCCCCTGATGGTGGTAGCAGGCATTACAAACCGGGCAGTTGAGGGGAGATAGCAACTCAGTTCCATAACCTTGGTGGCATGTTGCCTAACTAACTTTGCATGATGTATAAACAGTCAGGAAGAGCAGTTTAGGAAGGCATGTCGTCCTGTGCCACAGAAACAAAAGTAATGCCCAAACAAGCTATGCCTCAAGAGACTGTGCTGGTGTATGAAGAATGCTTAAAGTTATTGTTGGCAACTATGCCCGCTTAAACTGTTATCTTTGCAAATCTCGAAAATGAAGAAGAACCAGTCCTGACCATTAGCTGATGGGGTGGTGCCAAACAATCTAGGGTGCTGCAGGAAGTTGTGCTGGTGATTCAGTAGGTGGCATGCTTTCTTCCGCGTCCATACTGAACAAATGCAGACACGCAATGCTAGTGCTGCTCTATTGTCAATATTTCTATGGCCTGTAGGCATATCTGAGTTAACTTTAATTTAATTTGAGGCTTTCTTCAAACAGCTAGTGGAAGTTTCCTGATCACAGGCCTGGTTCTCAAGGAGGACTTAAATCACCCTGACATGTGCTGCAAGGGCATTGCAGCAGTGCATGGGGCCAGGCGTGGTGCACCCAAGGGTGCTGAGGGAGTTGACTGATGTGATTGTAGAGCCACTGGCCATTATCTTTGAAAACTCATGCCAGTTGGGAGAGACCCTGAACAATTGGGAAAAGGCAAATATAGTGCCTATCTTTAAGAAAGGGAAGAAGGAGGATTTGAGGAACTACGGACTGGACAGCCTCATCTGAGTCCCTGGAAAAATCATGGAGCAGGTCTCCAAGGAATCCATGTCTAAGCACTAGGTGGAGAAAGAGGTGATTAGGAAAAGTAATCATGGATTCACCAAGGGCAAGTCATGCCTAAACAACCAGATTGCCTTCCATGATGAAATGACTGGCTCTGGATGTGGGGAGAGAAGTGGACATGCTATACCTTGACTTTTTAGCAAGGCTTTTGATATGATCGCCCACAACATTCTTACAAGCAAGCTAAGGAAGTCCAGGCTGGATGAATGGACTGTAAAGTGGACAGAAAACTGGCTGGGCTCATTGATTACTACCATCTCTTTGGCAGCTGGTATCAAGTGGAGTGTCCCGGGGTCAGTCCTCTGGCCAGTTTTGTTCAATGTCTTCATCAATGTCCTGGAAGATGGGATGGAGTGCACCTTCAGCAAGTTCCCAGATGACATCAAACTGTGGGGAGTAGTAGATACGCTGAAGAGTAGGGCTAGGATTCAGAGCAACCTAGACAAATTGGAGGATTGGGCCAAAAAGCAATCTCATGAGGTTCAGTAACGACAAGGGCAAAGTCCTTCGCTTAGGATGGAGCAATCCGATGCACCAGTACAGGCTGGGGGGTGACTGGCTAATCAGCAGCTCTGCAGAAATGGACCCAGGGGTGACTGTGGACAATAAATTGAATATGAGCCAACAGTGTGCCTTTGTTGCCAAGAAGGCTAACAGCAACCTGGGCTGCATTGGTAGGAGCGTTGCCAGCAGATCAAGGGGAAGTGATTATTCCCCTCTATCCAGCACTGGTGAGGCCACATCTGGAGTACAAATGTGGATATGGACAAATTGGAGACAATCCAGCGGAGGGCATTGAAAATGGTTAGTGGCAGAGCACGTGACTTATGAGAGAGAGGCTGATGGAACTGGGCTTATTTAGTCTAGAGAGAAGAAGACTGAGGAGGGATTTAATAGCAGTCTTTAACAACCTCAAGGGAGGTTCAAAAGAGGATGGAGCTGGACTGTTCTCAGTGGTGGCAGATGACAGAGCAAGGAGCAGTGGGCTCAAGTTGCAGCAGAGGAAGTTTAGGTTGGATATTAGGAAGACCTTTCTTACTAGGAGGGTGGTGGGTTTATCCACAGAGGCTTTAGACTCTCCATCCTTGGAGGTTTTTACGACCCAGCTAAACAAAGCCCTGACTGGGATGATCTAGCTGGGGAAGGTTCAGTTTTGACCAGGGGGTTGGACTAGATGTGACCTCCTGAGGTCCCTTCCAATCCTCACTTTCTATGATGCCAAAAGCAGTAATGCTGCAATAGTATAGGCAGCCCTGGGGACTTAGGCACATTTGATGGCAGATAGAAAATGACTTTCTTCGGAGCTCTTTTTGCTCAAA